GAGGGAGGCTGGAATGGGGGGGGTGTATTATGTGTGTGGGGGGGATTGGAATGGGGGGGGTCCCTATATTTCAGGTGCGATTAGGGATTCCTGTGTCACAAACTTGCGTTTGCGGCATTTACATGCAGCAACTGTCACCCATTCAAGTTAATGAGCAGGTGACAGCCGCTGCATGTACATTCCTGCATACCGTATGTAATCGTTTACATGCAGCAGTTGTCATTTGACCATTAATTTGGATCGGTGACATTTGCCGCTTGTAAAATGTGCATACATTAAAACTGGTACCATATATAGTAGCGGCCCCCACTGGACTAAAACATTTGTCCAGAGGCCCCCGACTAAATTGAGTTTGAGACCCCTGGAGTAAAGAGAAACAACCCCAAGGCTTGGCAGTTATGCGAGTATCTTTAAATGTTCTTGTACCTTATCAAGAGCTTATATGTAATTTAAAGGACAACTTCACTACCGTACTCCTATGAATAGCTGTGTCATGCACAGTAGTAATAAGCTAAGAAAAGTTATCCTTTAATAAAGAAGAAATCTTTGTACATCATGCTCAGTGTTCTCTCTTTTTTTTTTTTTTTTTTTTTGGAGCAGCAGATCTAACCTGCCCCAATTCCCCGAAACCAGGGCACTTTCTATTTAGTTTGTTTATTTTTACAGCAGTTCTGAAATAAGACTGTTCCAGTAGAGCAAAAAGGGCGAAACTGAAGATGTTAGGGAAGTAGGCAAAGCATGTCATCACAGGTTTAGAACTGTTTTTTTGTTGTTTTGTATTTCTTTACAATTAGGGTGGTTAAGCAATGGAATGATGTAGAACATAAAATAGCAAATGACAAAAACAAGAATAGAATGAATAACATGACTGAATCATTTTGCAGCTAATATTAAAAGGAACTATTTATCTATTATTTATTTATCTAGTTGGCAACTATTCTCATCATCGATTAGTTGGGGGAGGGGGATTTTTTTTTAATGCAACCAATTGATAATGAGAATAGTTACCAACTATTCTCATAATCGATAAGGGAGAGAGGGGGGGAGAGCAAGGGAGAGAGAGAGGAGAGGGAGAGGAGAGAGAGGGGGGGAGGGGGAAGAGTTTTTTTTAACAACCAATAGATTAGTTGAAAATATAAATCGGGCAACTAATCAATTATAAACATAATCATTAGCTGCAGCCCTAGTGAGTTTAAATGTGGCTCACTTTGGTACCTCAAGACATAAGAAAAAGGTACTTAGAATTTTCTGGGAATACAGCTGCTGTGTTGGTAGGCTAAACATATACGGTAGAACCTTCCCTGCATGCACAGATTCTCTTTTGAAGCCGTTATATGATACAGTGTCAGTTACAAGCAAACACAGCAGCCATGCCGCCTATATACATACTGGCACCATGTTTATACAGATCAGCCATGGCATCATTTAAAAAAATAAATAAGGCAGAAAGACACAGCACAGCAATACGAAAAAGTTGGAGGAAAAAAATTAAAATAATGGAGAAAATGAAGAACAAATATATAGTCAGAAAATGTTATAACTAGTACTTTGACACTGTGTGCGTTTTGTTGCCCCCTCCTTATCCTCTCTCATCACATAACTTTAGGCTGGGTTCACACCTAGGCGTATTGAATATGCGCGTTTCTACCACAATTCGCGGTTTAAAAAAACGCGCAACAAACGCCCGTTTCCGAGGGCTACTTGGCTGTAACCCAATGGAAACGCGAGACCAAAACGCCCCAAAGAAGTACATGTACTTCTTTGGGCGTAGGCCGTTTTGTATCGCCTTTGGACGGGCGGAAATACGGCAAGGTGTGAACCAGACCCATTGAATACAATGGGATTTAGATGTTTGAGCGTTTTGTAGAGCGTTCGTCGAGCGTTAAACGCGCTACAAAACGTTCAGGTGTGAACCAGGCCTTAGTACCATGCTTAGCATAGCATCATTATGGTTGGAAGAGAAATGTTGGGGCAGCTATTTGAATCAAAAATGGTTTCAGCTATTCTGGAAAACAAGAAATTCATTTTTTCACCTCTTGTTGTGAATCTGCCAGACTACGGATTTTATTTTTAACATGTTCACCAGACTGTGTGCACTGTTTATTTGTGAGATTAACAGCACACTTCTCCAGGTGAGCACAGCTGTCAATAGAGCATTATATGGTCTCGGGTCCCGAGCAGCAGCATATGTACTTGTGGCTTTGCTTAGGCTTTTTACAAAACATAACAACCATGCAGAGCCACAGGCACACACACCTTGTGACCGTACCCCAAATCCTATACGATTTATTATATCACCTGCTGTACAGCCAAAGTACTGTCCATCTCTTCAAAGGATTCATCGGGCCAGTTGTAAAAATCCTGTGAGAAAACATATTAATAGTTATTGCAAATTGTAGACAATTATATGTCATATTTCAATTCAATGAAAACAATTTCAGCATTAATATATCAACTCCAGCCAACACTAATAACTTCACTGATCAGATTCAGTGGGCACTAAGAGATGTAATCCTCTGTTGGCTTTTTACATTTTTTGAACACTGCAATGGTAGGACAGCCAGCCTTTTGCAAAGGAGGTCTATGTTCATTCTATGTACACAGCTATGGGGCTGGAGTTGAGAAGTAGTACCAAGATTTGTAGTTTCATTAGGGCCTGATCAGTGTTGTGACAACCATGAAAGCCAAGACTGCTGGCAGGTTCACCATGTAATATAATATAACAAAATACATAAAGGGCATACTGTTTACAATAATGCACTTACGATTAATGTAAACAGTAAATTGCAATTGTTTCATTGGATTTACTAACAAAGTGCAACTATACTCACCACTGCTCCAGCGATGCGAGGTCAGGCATGGGCATCTTCACCCCTGCTTCTTGCTGGTTTGGGATGTTCAGCCATCTTCTTGGCATTCTAAAAAGCTTGTGTGGTAAGAATGTTCTACTGCAGAAGAGACATACACCGGAATGTCTGCAATACTCTTTAGACTTTCGTTGTGCATACGCATGACAAATGTTGGTGCTTGCACCAGATTCCTGTCCCTGTTGCAAACAAGAGCATGAATTTGTCGCCATCACTAACATGTGCAGTGCGATGGCACAATGAGGGCAGAGTGCCCATACTAGGCACTCAGTATACAGTGCAGTTCAATAATGATGAGCCTGATAAAAAGCAGACTCAGCATTACTGAGCTCCCACCCAGTCACTGAACCAGTCACACAGGCATCTACTATGAGTGGGTGGAGAATTGAATTCCCCATCAGGTCTGCTGTTTCAGATTGACAGCAGGCAGTGGGCGGGTGCCATTGCCAGCCTGCTATTGGCTATGACACCCGCCCACTGCCTGCTGTCAATCAGCAGAAGAAAGACCTGTTAGGGAACTCAGTTCTCCATCAAGCTCCGCCAACTGTGACATTGTTATTGGTTGTTTAGGAAGCTTTCGACTTTCCACCCACTGCCTGCTGTCATTCTGAAAACTGAGATCCCCATCAGGTCCACTCTGCTGCTGACTTACAGCTGGCAGTAGCCATGTTCCATAGCCAGCCTGCTATTGGGTATGGCACTCGCCCACTGCCTGCCATCAATTTAATGTAACCAAGGGGGGATGTTGGCAAACATCACTCAAATTTGGTCATATTTGGATAATGATATCTGCCAGCATGCCCGGCCCTTTTTTTACCTAATGGGAACGGGGATGCATAATTGGTTGCTAGCACTCAGATGGCCTGGTGTCCTAGCAACCAACGGACTGGAAGCTGTCAGATTCATGACAGCTTCCAGGACATACATGCCTCAAACTCAGAGCACGTAAGCAAAGGGGCGAGATACTGTGACATCATTGACCTTATATGGACACATGGCTATATTTGGTCAATGGCATCGACATTGCCAATTATGTCAGCACAAGCATCCTGCCTAGAGCTGCAGCTAACGATTATTTTCATTATCGATTAGTTAGCCGAGCCCATCTGTTTATGTGCAGCTGCAGGGTGATGAATGCCCCGGTCTGCAGCTGATTGGCTGGTGGTCCCAGGTTCCTTCTTTGGAGGAGCTCCTCCCTGGTCAGCAGTCATGGCAGAGAGAACAGGTGCATCATCGCTCCCAGTTACATTCTCAGCATGCCAAGATGTACACTGCAAGGTGCATGTTACTATGCCTAGACACTTTGTTTTGTAGCCTCATAGGTGTATGTAATGAAAGACTATCTAGTACACGACCGCCTCTGACTACTACTCATCCCGTGAGATATGGATTAAGATTGTGTGATGTCACTACTCTACTACTCATTGTTCTCCTTGCTGGAGATCAAGCTGTACATGAGGACCTGCCGTACAGGAATCCCCCTGCTTCTGCCATGATCGATACCCCACAAGTTATTTGGTGGGAAGCTGTGACATAAGGAACCAAAGCCCTGTCCCTAACACGATGGCCCCCTCCACACAGTGTGGAACAAGGCATGTTAGCTCTGTAATGGGCAAATGACCAGCTGCAGATAAACCCCAAGGCTTTTAGCAGAGCTTCCACAGTACAGATGTCGTTAATACCTCCAAAAGGTAGGCAAAAAAAAAAGCAGGGACGGCAGGGATGTAAGGGTAAAAGGGAATGCCAATTCCTGACCTCCTGCCCATTGCTCATCATGTAGATTGACAGCTGTAAGGTATAGAGGCTGCTCAGCTGTCACAATGAGGAGCGAGCACGGCCAACACCATACGGGAGCGAGCACGCAGCTGGTGGAACTGGAACAGCAATATCCTTGTAACACCGCGTCCGTTCCCACAGGCTGAGCTGGTGCCCGTCATCCCTGGAACTCAACCCACGCTTCAGCTGTACACTCCTGTGTGACCGATCATACCGCCACATTACTTCCTTCCTCATCATTCCATATACACATACAAAGCGGTCAATACACAACAGCTACAGCCCAGCAGAGCATAACTTGTTCAGGGGAGGCAGACCGATACAACTCGCTCCCAGAACGACCAACATTGCGGGCTGCGGCCCCTTAATCCCCACCTCCCCGCTCTCTAGAGGCGGCGGCGGACCAAACATTATTATTTCACTTTGAAACGTGTAAATAAAATGCTGGCGGGTGTCATTACCTGAGCTTTGGTGCCCGGCCTATTTCTTCTCAATACAGCGGTGCCTTCCGCCATTACCATGGTAGACGCTACAGAATGCGGAGGTCCGGAGGAAGAGTGACGTCACGCCCATGTGACCAAAGGGGCGCGGCGTAGGGTGGATGGTTGCACGGAAGGAGCCTCGTTTGTTGGAGTGACAATGTTTTGTTCACAGCGACCAATCAGAGTGCGTTACAGATTCGATCTGTCTGCAGTATTGGAAAGTTGGATGGCTGTGGTCACCACAATGAGAAGAACATGAGCTCCAGTTACTAAAGCTTTTACTTCATATATGGAAAGTAAAGTACACATTGTAGATGCAGGAGAAGCAAAGTTTTCAATGTCCGGCTGGTCCAGGACTGGCTACATATTCGTGCCGTTTGCAGTTATTGTGTGGGTCTGGTTTGGCCATAAAGGGCAACGGTAATTGTACACTCCATTAACACCCCGCATGCCATAACCCCTAAATAATAAAATGACATTAAAGCCAACATTTTTTCCCCTCCCCCCCATGTAAATGTTAGCACTTACCTCAAATGATGTCTCTTATTCTGATCTTCCTCTTCTTTCCCCATGTTTTCATGCATCCCTCCAGCGGTGTGACGTCACTCCGATCCATCGCTGACTGCTCTGTCTCTCCGATCCAGCGGTGTCTGCATGCGGGTGCACGCGTCCATAGACTTACCTTGCGTCTCTGCTCGTCTCCCGGCCGAGAATCGAAACTGGGCATGCGCCCGCCCCAAGATCCTTTGCGGCCGTACGAGCAGTTCCTGATTCTCGGCGCGGGATCGAGCAGCGATAACGAGGTAAGTTTAAAACCAGTTCAAGCGTTTTTTTGTTTTTTTTTAAACTTCTTGCCTATATCTACTGCTTGCTAGCAGTAGATATAGGCAAAAAAACGGAGGGTTTAGAACCCCTTTAAGTAAACAGACAATAATGATTGGAGAAAAGGTTTAGGCCATGGACCTTTTATTAGGTTTGAATATATTTTAAAGCCCATCTGGTGGTGCTACGGGTGTAACTGCACACTGTGTTATTTCATTTAATTAGAAAAGTGGATTATAATGGGCAACATTACACTGTAATGTTGCCTATTATAATCTATTTCTCTGATTAAATGATTAGACAGGGCCGCTGTGGAATGTGTGACCACCAATAGGTCAAGCATTCCAATGCTTTCTCGGCATTCACAGAGTCGGATAGAAGTGACATTTCAGGACCGAAAAGCTGATCCAGGGCAGATCGGTTCTCCTGCACATACGATTTGCGATGCCGATTTGTCCTTGAACAGCTGAGAAAGCGTTGGAATGCACATTCCACCACCAAAAAACTGGGCGGGATTACATTGAAATGTGTGACCAAGTCACCAGTCACACAGTGTAAGGTAGTCCCAAACTTTGATAGAACACCGCCATCAGCGGGGTACGGCCGGTACCCATGTGAGGGGTCTGGGCAGCCTGGTGGGTCCCTTACATGAGTATCAGCTGTACCAGGGGCGGCATGGCAGAGGTGACAGGGGAGGGGGTGGAGGAAGCCAGGCCCAAGCAGCAGCAGACAGAATCAAACACCGCACCAGCAGATTTTGGTTCAAGAGAGTATTAATCAATGATGTTCAGGATGTTTATGCAGGGCGATAACGGGGCGGCTCTCACCAGGTTCAGAACAACCTCAGCACTGCACGACAAAGACGTTTTTAATAAACGAATAAAGCAGCAGCAGGTAAGAGGAGTTGGGAGGAGGTACAGGGAAATGGACCCCGGCGACCAGCCCACCTGAGGCCCTGCAGAGCCCACCATAGAGATTCTCAGATGGGCTGTGCAGGATCTATGGTGTGCTCTGCAGGGTCACTCTCAGGTAAGTCCAGTGCGTTACTAAGCCCTGAGTCCAGTGCGTTACTAAGCCCAGAGTCCAGTGCGTTACTAAGCCCAGAGTCAAAACTCTTCACCCTTTTGTGAACAACCCTGTACATGTTTTCCTTTGCAGTAGGGCCACCCCCACACTGCCTGCAAGGGTTAACTGCTCATTTATGCCTAGGGGTCAGGAAAAATACATTTTACTCACCTGATTCCCACTCATCCGGCAGTCCTCATGTAGTGCCTTTGCGTCCTCATGTATAATGTATGGCTATGGAGTCTGCATTGTACTTAAAGGAGAACTATGAGGTGAGTGAGTGCTTTTCACTCACCTCATAGTTCTAGCCGACCTGTGACAATGAGACTGTCACAGGTCGGCTCAGTAGATCGGGAGGTGAGCGAACACATACCGGCGTTCGCTCACCTCTCGATCCTGTCACGGCTCTCTGCCGTGACAGGGGAGGGGCTGGATTCCCCCCTCCCCGCTCCGATCCACCAGCGCTGACTGGTGGAACGGACGGGGGAGGGGGCGGGTACAGCTGACTCTGCCTCTAGATAGGCAGAGCCAGCTGTCAGTCACGCAGCTGGGCGTATCCCGCACAAGGACGGACGCTGATCACAGCAGCTCCGGTCCCGATCGAATCCTTTCTCCATCCTGACGGTTCCCTCGGCTTGCACGGCACCCAGGCTCCCTCCACTCTTCTTCCTGACCCTTCTAGCAGCAGCCATGATGAGAATCGGAGACCAGAAGGATGTCTCCGCGGCCGAAAAGCTGGCCCGTTTCCAGAGGCAAGATGGCGGTGGACATGCGGCCTCCCGCCCCTCCACAGGCTCCACCACGAGGATGGATCCGGCTGAATCCACAAGTAAGGGGGCTCCACAGGGAAGACCTACACAGCCGACCCAGCTGGGACAGAAGGGTAAACCCTCACAATCCCCCCGGGATGCCTATAAAAACGGTCGCCCTGCACAATCCTCACCAAGGGCCTCTGAGGTGAGGGGGGAGGGGGTGATTGTCCATACAGAAGCACAGGCCCCTGCTGAGCCCACTTTCCTACAATTAATGGAGGCCATTCGGGACTGTAAAACCTCCCTGGCATCACAGATTGAGGGGGTCCATGTAGATCTTTCCCTACTAAAGCATGATGTGCAGGGCCTGCGTGACAGAGTCACTGAAACGGAAGGCCGCATTAATATCCTGGAGGATGCGATGGCCCCGCTATCCAGGGATACTACTGGTTTGCAGAGGGAGCTTGCGGCCTGTAGAGCTAAGATGGATGACTTGGAGAACCGCTCCAGGCGCAATAATCTCCGCTTTGTTGGATTTCCTGAGCGGTCGGAAGGCCAACATCCTGAGACATTTATCCAAGACTGGCTGAGGGAGATGTTTGCCGACTTCATCCCTTCGTATACCTCCTTTGTCGAGTGGGCACACCGCACGCTACCCTCCATGCCACCCCCTGGCTCCACTCCCAGGCCTATTATTGCCAGGATCCTCAACTTCAGGGATAAGGTGGCGATCCTCCGTGCCTTACGGATTGCTGGGGAGCTCTCCTACAATGGAAACCGGGTATTCATTTTTTCCTGATTTTTCCGCTGAATTGCAGCGCCAACGGTCCTCCTTTCTGGAGGTCAAAAAGCGGCTACGCCAGGAGGGAGTAGCATATGCCATGATTTATCCTGCTAAACTCAAGGTGATAAGAGAGGGTAAAGTACAACTCTTTTCCTTACCCACCGAAGCCTCGGAGTGGCTGGATGGCAAAGGCCTCCCACAAAGGAGACGCCGCCACAATGAGGATCGTGATCTGCCCTTTGGAGTACCCTTCTACTTGTCGGACCTACCCCAATACCTGCAGATATGGAGATGACTACCACTTCTACAGCTACGTTGCTGCCTTTGGTGCCCGGCATCTTCCTTTGACCCCCCATCCTGACTCGGTATTCTTTCCGGTCACTGCACAATGCGACTGTACTGATCCTGCTCCTTGGGTTGTTGTTCCTGACCTAGGCTGTGCCGCACTACCTCCCCCACATTCAGGGGGACCGTCACCACGTTATGACATTACAAAATGGGACTGGAATGTGCTTGGATCTGGTCCTGATGGAAGTGGCTGCACCCCCAGCCTCTTGGGCGTTGTATTTGCACTAGTGTGTTAGTGTTTTAGTTAAGGGATTTAGGCTTGTTAGTGTTGGGTTAACAAGCGGGGTGGGATGGGAATAGTAGTTCAAGTTGGGATGACTGTTGTTGTTGTTTTTTACTGTTTGTATGCTATGCCTCTCTGCAGTTTACACTGGTTCGCAAGGTTTCACTACTTAACTTCACAGGTTCACCTCCTAGTCAACTTGACACTTTGTCTGTCCTCTGATGGGGTATAAATTTATATCATGGAACGTTCGGGGCTTGAATTCCGGCCTCAAGCGCTCCCTAGTGTTTGATTCCCTCTTTAAACTCAAGCCACATGTGATATGTCTGCAGGAGACCCACCTGTTGGGCTCTAAGGTGCTGACACTAAAAAAACATTGGGTTGCCAGGTCCTTCAATGCTGTATACTCATCTTATTCGCGAGGGGTGTCTATTCTATTGGCTAAGTCACTTAATGCTGCGGTTCTTCAGGTTAAAACTGACCTATTTGGTAGATATGTTATAATCCACATGACCATAGATGGGACTCCCCTGACGTTGGCCTCTGTTTATCTCCCTCCCCCCCCAATGGTGGACATTCTCCACACTGTCACTAATGCTGCCTTGACCATGCCTACTGATTCCCCTACTGTACCTTATGGTAGGTGGGGGGCGACTCAATATTAAGTTCACAGACTGGATCCAGGGAATTGGGCTTATTGATGTGTGGAGATGGAAATGGCCGGACACTAGGGCCTACTCATGTCATTCTGCTAGACGCTGTCTAGGATAGACTTGGTGTTTGGGACCCCAACTATCCTTCCGTGGATTACGGGGATACACTTTCTCCCACGGGGGATCTCGGATCATGCTCCCTTGTTAGTGGAGCTCAGTTGGGGGCATTCCTTCTCTACCAGAGTGTGAAGAATGAACTCCCACTGGCTTTCTGATCCCTCTGTGGAGACTGCTTGCTCCCAGGCTATCGGCCACTACTGGAGTGACAATGCCCCTGTGACTTCCTCTTCTCTTAAATGGGATGCCTTTAAACCTACGTTCAGAGGAGCATTCATGGCTGCTACTGGGGCAGTCCGTAAGCTCAAGGGGGAGGTTGCTCTGGCACTAGAGTGTGATATGGGAGAAG